GTCACACTTCTAACCATTGCAGCATCTCCCGTGGTCATGTGATCAAAATTCAGGCACTGGATAACTCGTTCATATTTATGATGATTGTAGCATCCCAGGGTCACGTCATTACCTTTTGTGACCTTCTGAGAAGCAAAGTCAATGGAGAAGCCAGATTCACTTCACAACTGTGTAACTATAGCACTAGCACTAGCACTTAGACTTATATACCACTTCACAGTGCCCCCAACAATCTGGGTCCTCATTTTACCGACCTCGGAAGGATGGAAGGCTGAGTCAACCTTGAGCCCGGCAGGATCGAACTGTTGAACTGCTGGCAGCCGGCAGTCAGCAGAATGAGCCTGCAATACTGCATTCTAACCACTGCGCCACCATGGCTCTTAACAACTGCAGTGAACTAACTTAACAACTGCAGTGAATTCACCTAACAATTGTGGCAAGAAGGGTCGTAAAATGAGGCAAAGCTCACTTGACAACTGTCTCGCTGAGCACTGAAAATTTTGGATTCAATTGTCATAGTTTAAGGACTATCTATACATTTGTGATTGCTTCACTCTTCATGCATGTGGGTGAACAGAATAATTCTGAAATCTGAGAGGAGGTTGTGACCATTTATTGCACCTTTATAAAAAGTTAGGGTTCAGCCCCTTTCCCATCATCCTTTTCATGCAACCGGTTCTTTGTCATATTCTAATGCAGTGCCTCTCAAGTTTGGCTAATTGAAGATGGGGGGACGGCAACTCCATGGCTGGCTGGGGAATGCTGAGAGTTGAAGTCTACCCATCTACAAGTTGCCAAGGTTGAGAAACATGTTTTAACGCAGAGGTCTCCAAACTTGGCAATTTTAAGACTTACGGACTTCAACTCCCAGAATTCCTTAGGCAACCATGTTGGCTGGGGAATTCTGGGAATTGAAGTCCACAAGTCTTAAAAGTTGCCATGTTTGGAGACCCTGGTTCTAATGGAATGGAGTAGGTGGGATTTTATTTTTTTTTTAATCATCCGAGCTTGGAACAAAATATTTCCTACATTATAGTTGAGAAACTGCTTGGAACCATCTGACTGGCCAGTTTGAAAATGGGACATTAGAATGTTGATGTGGTAGCCGTGCTCTGCTTGGATTCTTGAGTAACCCTTTTCCCTCTATGCTCCCCACAGATGACAAGTGGGTGATTGAGACGAGGCAAGGGGATCTCCAGTTGGAAGACACCGAGCCAGTGAAATTGTGTGGGCCCTCCTTGCAAGAACCTTATTGGTCCGAAGAAGATGGAGATGCAGCTCTTGGGGATGGAGCTGACCAGAAGAATGAGGACAACCCAGGTCAAAACAGACCTGAAGGGCTTCCTCTAGCAGAAGAAGACGGGGACTCAAGTCAACCTGTTATGGTCCAAAGACGGCACAGAAGTCGAGAAAAGAAGACCTGTGCCGTGTGCGGCAAGACTTTCAGCCGGAGCACGGTGCTCGCTGCCCATCAGAGGACCCACACGGGCGAGAAGCCATTCATGTGCCAGAATTGTGGGAAATGCTTCAGCTTCAAGTCCACTCTGGTTGCCCACGAAAGGACCCACACGGGAGAGAGGCCTTACACCTGTGATCTGTGTGGGAAGAGCTTCACCGTCAGCTCAGTCCTCACCAGGCATTACCGAGTCCACATCGAAAAGAAACTCTTCAGCTGCTCCGAGTGTGACAAGAGCTTCACTCAGAAATCTCAGTTGCTCAACCATCAGAAGATCCACGTGAGGGAAAAGCCGTTCAAATGTGCCCAGTGTGGAGAAGGTTTCAGCCGGAGCTCCAGCCTCAAGAAACACGAGGGCTCCCACACGGGGGAGAAACCCTTCAAATGCCCCGATTGCGAGAAATCCTTCAACACGTCTTCCCAGCTGGTCAAGCACCACCGAGTCCACACCGGGGAGAGGCCCTACACATGTTCGGAGTGTGGGAAGAGCTTCAGCCAGTGGCAGATCCTGATGGTGCACCAAAGGACCCACACGGGCGAGAAACCCTTCAAGTGCGCCACCTGCGGGAAATGCTTCTCCGATCGGGCTGTCCACATTCGCCACCAGAAAGTCCACACAGGGGAGAGGCCTCATCAGTGCCCCACTTGCGGGAAGAGGTTCACCCACCGCACCGTCTTGGTGAAGCACCAGAAGATCCACGCCCGAGAAGCTCTGAACCTAGCCAAATTGCAAGATGAGCAGCAACGACACGAGGAAACTTCATAAAAGTTTGCAAGACGGGACGAATGCTCAACTTTGAAGGATACCGACGGGCGACGCTCTTCCCTGAGCCTTCCCTACCTTTTTTGGCTTCCAGATGCGTCAAGACCCATGGTCTTCCTGGCTTAAAAACAGATGGGAGTTGCAGTCCAATAAAGGAACTGGGTTGGCTTGATAGCACAGGATTCTGCTGTATTGTGCAAAGATGTATATGTATCAGATAATCAGTATGTCTACAACAGAGGTCTTCAAACATGGCATAGCTTGCTGGAGAATTCTGGGAGTTGAAGTCCACAAGTCTTAAAGCTGCCAAGTTTGAAGACCTCTGGTCTACAATCACACCGTGGCAAACGGTCACTTTCCCAGGGCTGAGCATGATGGGTTAGGCAACACTTTCTTTGACACACGTGGGGATCCTCCAGTGGGCCTACTCCTCCACCACTCCCCAGTCCCCTCATCTTCCATGTTGTGACTGTCTCTGTGTATGCACTTTTGTCTTCCTGATAAAAGTTGCCGGCGTTGTTGTCGAGTCTTGGCAAAGTCAACTTTTTCAAGATCTACTTTAGCTATGCACTACAGTGATAAAGAAAGCAGTTCATGAGGACAGATTAAGCCCCTCCCATTTGTGCACAGACATCAACTAGTAGTAGATAATGTATCCGATAGAGAAGCATCCTGTTTTAATTCAATTCCCCATCACAATGTTATTGTTTTTTTGCCACTGTTCTTTGGTTGTTGGTCCCCACGTTTCTGATTTTGGACACCAACATGCTGTTGTGTTTCTGTATTATAAGGATAAGAGGATAATGTATATCACAAAAACGGATTAAAGCAAAAATTAGAAGTGCCTCATAATTAGCCTGTCTGTAAGCTTGCCTTTCGGTTGTTAATGCAGTTGCTGTCAAATATAATGCTTTCATTGTCTATCCACTGCAAGATTAATGCGTCTTCTGCACGTTTCCAGCCAATAGAGTCCTGAGCGAGGGCCGTTTTTGAGTTTGTATTGGCAAGTGGAAGGAATAGACCATAATCTGCTACACCGGTCCAGTGCGGGTTGGCAGGTGTGATCGGTGTTAATCTGGGGTATCCATCATGGCCTGTTCACCTTGAGAGACCCTTCTGAATGTTGTTGTGACTCAGGCCCAAGTAAGTAGTAGGAAAATCAGTCAGTGAAAAAACAAATAAACTTTATTTGAACAGCTGAGAATTACTTCATTCCCAGCGTCGTTCAACTAAATTAAAGCAAATTCCTCCCAACACAAATTCCTCAGTCCTATCGCAGTCCTTGGTCCAATTAGGCAAACTGCCAAAGGCCTTTCTTGGCAAATGTTCAGAAGTCACAGATACAAAAATAAATACAAGACATAGATGAAGAAGACGACGAAGCTACCAATGTTGTTTTCCGGCAAAGCCCAAACGCCGTTGCTGGTCTGTTTTAAGACTTATGGGAGGGGCCAATCATCTCTTGGCCCTACTCCCGAGTTGTCCTCTTTGCTTGAGCTGCTCTTACCTTCTGGCAGCTCTTCTCATGCGTGCATTAGGAACAGGCTCCTCCTGTTCCTCTTCCTCACTCCTATCAGTCTCTGGAGGCTCTGAAGTCCACACCTCACTCCCCGATGGCCCTGGCCCCATCTCTGCCTCTGACCCTGAGCCCTCATCCAGGCCTTCCCCAGCCTCCAGGACTGGCCCATGTTCTTCCTCAGCCTTGGTGGTGGTGGTGGGGTAATGTGACTGGGTGGGCCTGGCCAACTTTTTGTTTTTAAACTTTTCAAAGCATTTTTTCTAATGCTTTGAAAAGCCTCTGCCGATCAAGCAACTCAGCTGGGATCGTCAGAGACTTTTCAAAGCATTTTTTTTACCACCTCTTCGGCCAAGAGGTTGCAGAAAAAAAATGCTTTGAAAAGCCTCTGACGGTCCCAGCTGAGCCGCACGATCATCAGAGGCTTTTTTAAAAAAACTTTTAAAAGCATTTTTTCGTCGGAAGAGGTTGTAGAAAAAATGTTTTTAAAAGTAAAAAAAAAAAAAAAGCCTCTGATGATCATGTGGCTCAGCTGGACATTGTGGGGGGAGGGGGGCGCAGGGAATTTTTGCTACCGGTTCTCCGAACCACCTGCTGCCATCGCTACCGGATCGGACGATCCGGTCCGAACCGGGAGCATTTCACCCCTGTCCTGGGGTCATATGATCAGCTTCTGCTCCCGTCTGATAAGCAAAGTCAATGAGGAATCCAGATTTACTTCTCCACTGTGTGACTCACTTAACAAATGCGGAGATTCACTTAACAATAGCGGCAAGAAACGTTGCAAAACTCACTTAACAAATGTTTCCCTTTCAGCCGCGGTGGTGCAGTGCTTAAGAGTGCAGTGTTGCAGGCTACTTCTGCTGACTGCCGGCTGCCTGCAGTTTGGCAGTTCGAATCTCACCAGGCTCAAGGTTGACTCAGCCTTCCATCCTTCAGTAAAATGAGGACCCAGATTGTTGGGGGGGCAATATGCTGACACTGTAAACCGCTTAGAGAGGGATGTAAAGCACTATGAAGCAGTATATAAGTCTAAGTCAGTGGGTCTCAACCTTCCTAATGCCGCGACCCTTTAATACAGTTCCTCATGTTGTGGTGACTCCCAACCATAAAATTATTCCTAAGACCATTGAAAAAATGTGTTTTCCGATGGTCTTAGGCGACCCCTGTGAAAGGGTTGTTCGACCCCCAAAGGGGTCCCGACCCACAGGTTGAGAACCACTGGTCTAAGTGCTATTGCTATTAACAAATGTTTCACTTAGTAATCTAAATTTTGGGCTCAAAATTTATAGAATCCACCCTGGCTGGGATGCTGGAAAAAAAACAAACCAATAAATTCTCCTCCCCCTTACATAATCGTATTTTCTGAATTATGGTGTAATATTTCAGAGAGGGGGCAGCCATGGGAAGATAACATAGAAGTTCAGGCTGAATTTACACAACAGTAGTCTTTTTTTTTTTAAAAAAACCCACCGGTTATGGAGTTGGAAGGAACTTGGAGGTCTTCTAGTCCAACCCCCTGCTCAGGCAGGAAACCCAATGCCATTTCAGCCAAATGGTTGTCCAATCTCTTCTTAAAAATCTCCAGTGCTGGAGCATTCACAACTTCTGGAGGCAAGTTGTTCCACTGGTTAATTGTTCTGTCAGGAAATTTCTCCTCAGTTCTAGGTTGCTTCTCTCCTTGATTAGTTTCCACCCATTGCTTCTTGTCCTGCCTTCAGGGGCTTTGGAGAATAGTTTGACTCCCTCTTCTTTGTGGCAGCCCCTGAAATATTGGAACACAGCTATCATGTCTCCCCTAGTCCTTCTTTTCATTAAACTAGACATACCTAGTTTCTGCAACGTTCTTTAGCCTCCAGTCCCCTAATCATCTTTGTTGCTCTTCTCTGCACTCTTTCTAGAGTCTCCACATCTTTTTTTTTTACATTGTGGCGACCAAAACTGGATGCAGTATTCCAAGTGTGGCCTTACCAAAGCATTATAAAGTGGTATTAACACTTCACGTGATCTTGATTCTATTCCTCTGTTAATGCAGTCTAGAACTGTGATGGCTTTTTTGGCAGCTGCAGCACAGTGTTAGCTCATATTTAAATGAATGTCCACTAGGATTTAATTTAATTGTTACCCAACTCCATTATGACTCTAGGAGGCAGACTAGACAAAATTTAAAATGGCCCACCCATGTAATATGAAATAAAAAAAAAAAACCATCCAGAGAAAAATAGTACCATCTCACAAATCACAACATCTGAGAAGCAGCCAGGTTTTAAGGATTTATTTAAATCAATGTCTCTCAAACTCTTAAGATGTGTGGACACTTCAACTTCCAGAATTCCCCAAGCCAGGATGGGGGTCATATGGATTCTTAGGAGAATATCTATATTGCTGGTTTCTTGGGTCTCATTAACGGCCATTGCTTAATAATTGGTGGAACCTGGAACATGCTGATTTTGCTGGATTATTTTTATTTACCGTATTTTTCAGAGTATAAGACGCACTGGAGTATAAGACGCACCTACCTTTTTTGGTGAGGAAAAGAAGAAAAAAGAAATCTCCCTCTGCCTCTGAGCACTTTTGCCTCCTTGCAGCAAACAGCCTGCTTTACTTTCATTTTTGTTTTCAGCATAGCTGGATTAGCAACAAGGAAAAAAAAAATCTGCTCCAGCAATTTACCTCTTTGTAGCAAGCAGCAGAGCCCTGTGCAAAACAGCTGAGAGCAAAACAGCTGAGAGTCGGGAGGCCGAGCCAATCAACTTGTGCTAATTAGGCTGTGCTGAAGCTGAAAGGAGCTGTTTTTTCTTACTGTTTGCTTGCAAGGAGGTAAATGCTGTGAGGCAGAGGCCAAAGGGTGGGGGCCAGTGGGTGGGCGGGGCTACATTCGGTGTATAAGACCCACCTAAATTTTCACCCCTTTTTAGGGGGGAAAAAGGTGTGTCTTATACTCCGAAAAATACGGTATTTATTAAATTTATACACTGCCCCATCTTACCATTGGGAATATGGAGTAGGCAGACAATCCCTCCAACAACCAGGCCCATCCTAGATCATGACATTATGGATCAGTGTTTTTTTCAAACTTGGCAACTTTTAAGATGGGTGGACTTCAACTCCCAGAATTCCTCACAGCCAGCAGGCCCTCACTCTTCCTGTTGTGACTTTAAACAAAAAAAAAAGCCAGGCATTGAAATAAACAATGTTTCTGGGCATCACAAATGTGTTTTGTATATAAAAAAACAAGGCCATCGTTTTCTCCTGTTTTTAAAAAAAAGTTCTTATTTTTATTGAATTAGTCCCATTTTTACAACTTTGGAGCTTTGCTACTTAAAGGTACAGCGACCTGTAAATGTGGATAAACCAAAAGGATTTTTTCCCCATGGACTTTCTACCTTCCTTGAAATTTCCCCCCTAAAAATATAGGTGCAGAACCCAAAGAAGGGTGGAGTTTTAGGATCCTTAAACATCCAAGAAATGGCTAGCATTGTCCAAAGATAAGGCTTAGAACTGTGAGAAGCAACAGAGTATCTTTTGCAAAATGGTTCATGTAAAACAGGGGTCTCCAAATTTGGCAACTTTGAAGACTTGTAGATTTCAACTCCCAGAATTCTGGGGGAAGGGAACAGGGGTGAAATGCTCCCGGTTCGGATCCGGTAGCGATGGAGATGGGTGGTTTGGAGAACTGGTAGCAAAAATCCCTGCCGCCACCCCCCCCAGCTGAGCCACGCAATCATCAGAGGCTTTTTTTTTTTAACTTTTAAAACCATTTTTTCTACAACCTCTTCAGCCGAAAAAATGCTTTTAAAAGTAAAAAAAAAAGGCTCTAATGATCGTGAGGCTCAGCTGGGATCGTCAAAGGCTTTTAAAAGCATTTTTTCTACAACCTCTTCAGCTGAAAAAATGCTTTTAAAAGTAAAAAAAAAGCCTCTGATGATTGCGCGGCTCAGCTGGGATCGTCAAAGGCTTTTAAAAGCATTTTTTCTACAACCTCTTCGGCCAAAAAAATGCTTTTAAAAGTAAAAAAAAAAAGCCTCTGATGATTGCGCGGCTCAGCTGGGATCGTCAAAGGCTTTTAAAAGCATTTTTTCTACAACCTCTTCGGCCGAAAAAATGCTTTTAAAAGTAAAAAAAAAAAAGCCTCTGCCGATCAGGCAACTCAGCTTGGATTGTCAGAAGCATTTAAAAGAAAAAAAGCCTCTGCCGATCAGGCAACTCAGCTGGGATCGCCAGAGCTTTTTGAAAGCATTTTTTTACAACCTCTTTGCTGAAGAGGTTGTAGAAAAAATGGTTTTAAAAGTAAAAAAATAAATAAAAATGGCCATGCCCACCCAGTCACATTATC